ATCCTTGAAAGCAGGTCTTTGGAAATTCCTCATTAAGGTTCGTGCAGGCAGAGCGGTATCTGGGCCGCTGCCCCCACCAGGGAGGGCCACCCAGGAACTCTGCGTCCACAGGGGAGCAGCCGCCCCCGCCCACATGGCTCCAGGGGGCCCAGCTGCAGCCGCGGCTGGGCCCCCACTCCTGCTCAGTAGTCCTGCCCAGAGCCATGCAGGGAGGCAGGCTTCGGGGCTGACAGGTGCTCTGGGCATCAATGAATAATGTATGAAATGAAAGCCCGTGAAAGTCAAGGGCCTGTTGTGTTCAGTAATTTAACTGATTTTGTATCAGAAGAACCAGGAGGACAATTTTATTCCAGGAGCACCGTGGTCAGTTTGAAAACCTATTAAGGTGAGATAATCCGACGGAGTTTTGTTTGGTGTTGTTTTGCACTTGTTTCCATTGCTTTTCTACTACTTGGCTAACGCTTTCTAGCGCTGATGATGAACAGCTGATGAACACAACACAGTTCATGGAGCTGTTGGAGTAAAACAACTTTTTGAAGTAAAATAAATTATTTCAGGGGCTGTCCCTCTAAAGTGGCTCTCTATATAAAAACAAAAATGAAAAACCCCAAACCATAAAAACCCACAAAAAGAGACAGTTTAGGGATTACTTTAGGTAAGGTTTTAATTTGTAACCTAACTCATTATGTGCAAATTCCAACTCTTAATTCCAAGAGCGTAACGCACCCTCCGCACATCCCCAGAAACTTTTATTGTGAAAGGCATCTTCCCCCTCCTCCCATTCACCAGGGTTCACAGACTCAGCCTGCCTCCCACGCCTCCCAACTGCAGCTGACCCTGACATCTGTGATGAGACCTACGAACTCAGCTCCTCCGCAGCTCGCCCTTCCCTGGGACAGCGGCCCGGGGGCCAGCCCCTCACTCGGGCCACACACAGCGAACATGGCCCCGACAGGCGCTGCTGACGCACCCGGGGCTGGTCCCCACCGAGCCTGCTATCTGAGTCTTAAGGAGAAGATCTTAGGCAGCATTTTAACTGACTGGGTTTATCAGGTTGCTGGTCAGCAGGAATTGTACCTTAGTTTACTGGAATAATGGATGCTTTAATACATCCTTTGCTGAATGTACAAGAAGCCTTTAAACTAATTGTAGATCCATTCCTGCAAAGGAAAAATTATATATATCTTTTTTGTTTTAGTTTTGGCTTTTATTTTTATCCAGGTTATACATAAATGTAGTTTAAAGTATAAAATAGATAGATCAGGTTTGTTACACTCAAACAGAAACAGCCATTCCCTGTCTCCCTCCCTGCATTTTACCATCTTTGAGGCAACCACTTTTCACCTTCGGGCTTTTTATTTAGATATTTACCACTGTTTGTAAATCACATACTTCTTTACTTTTCAATTTTAAGCTATACCATTGATATTCTCTTCTTGGTACCTATGGTTGTGTAGTGAACCATCCCAAAACAACCTTAAGTGACATTTATTTGATCACAAACCTGAAATTCAGGCAGGATTTGAAAGGGACAGCAGTCTCTACTCTGTGTCTGGATAGGACCTGGGGGACTCTTCCAAGATGGCTCAGCCACATGGTGGGCAAACGGGCTCCTCTGCAGGGGCCTTCTGCACAGGAATGCTTGAGCCCCCCAGACAGGGCAGCTGGAGGCCAAGAGGCAGAAGCAGAGGTCGCCAGTATCTTCAGGCCTGGAAACGGCAGGGTCACTTCTGCCACATTTCCGCGTAGCAGCTGTCAGCGCCTGGCCAGACTCAAGCAGGGAGCACACAGGGTCCACTCGTATTTATTTATTTCATAGCTTAATTGCTGTATAATTGACAGATAGGAATGCACATAGGTAAGGTGTACAACTCTATGTTTTGCTGTATGTATACGCTGTGAAGTGACCACCACGATCAAGCTACTTAACACATCCATCACCTCATAGTTACCATTTCTTTGTGTGATGAGAACACGTCAGATCCACCCTCCTAGCAACTTTCAAGTGTAACACAATATTATCATTAACTGTATCACCCTGCTGAACACTAGGTCCCCAGAACTCCTCCTAAGTGAAACCACACCCTTTGGCCAGCATCTCCTGGTTCTTCCCCTGCTGCAGCCCCAGAAACCCCACCTTACTCGTTCCCTTTATTAGTTTGGCTCTTTTAGCTCCCACATACACCCGAGAATGTGCAGGATTTGTCTTTCTCTGGCTTATTTCACTGAGCATGAAGTCCCCAGGTCCATCCATGTTATTACTGGCAGGACTTCCTTTTCTCGTGTGGCGAAATATTCCGCTGCGCACATGCCCTGCCTCTCTATCCACTCACCTGCTGGTGGACACTTAGGCGGCATCCGTGCCTTGGCGATTGGGAATTGCTGTTTCTCAGTTCCCACCGACTTACCTGTGCCCTCCTAACCTCACCCTAGGGTTCTGCCTCATTCTCTGAACTCCCAGCAGCACCCTCACAGGCTCTCTTGTGCCCAGGACCTCTGGCTTTTGCTTCTGCCTTTCCCCTGGCCCCGTCCTTTCCCTGTCCACTACCCTGGGGACACTCCTCCCTGCCTGCTCGGTTGGGGGGAGCCCATCCTCCTTTGTGACTCCAGCACCTGGCCAGGTCCGCCTGGACCTCTTGGATTTGCTCCCTCTCAGACCTTCATCCCACCTGGTGTATGTGACCTGGTGCCAGCTTCCTTCCTGCCTGGTGGCCCATCGCTGCTCTGTGGTCACCGCAGCTGCAGCGGGCATCTGGTGCTGGGTCTCTGCAGCGGCTTCCCCTCTTTCTGGGACCTGCTTTCCAGCTTCTTGCTTCCAAACCGCATGGGCCCCCAGGAGCTACCACTCTGTACCAGGACGCCTCTCTGAGGGGTCCGGGGGTGGGCATCTGCCCCGTTCTTTCCTGGGGTCTCTCCTCACTAAAATGCAAGAGGGTATCAGACTCTCTCCGGGAGGGCAGGTTGCAAGGGATCGAAGCTCAGGTGTCCAGAAGGTCACTGTGGAGGAAGCAATATACACCAGGAGGAAATGAAGCAGAAACAGAAGGGAGACAAACGGCCACGGTGGTCTGAACTTTTCAGCATCACCTTGCACATCCTGCCTGCAGTTGGATGCTAGGGACCTTGACCTTCACAGCTCATGCTTATGCTAAGTACCTTCCAGCTTCAGTTCCTTGGCCCATGTGGAGCCACCGCCTCTACCATCTTCTTTCACAGCTGGGGATACACTCTCCAGCCTCTGAACATTACTAGAATCTCATCACAGAATCCTTGAGAAAGACAGAGCTCTGTGCTCTGGCCTTTGACCTGGGTGGGTATGCAGGTGTTCTGGGCCAGCTGAAGGAATGGACAAGTCTTCCTTTTTAATGAGGTTTTGTGTCTCATTACCCCCTTTTGTCAACAGTTGGCCACAGAAGAGGCTGTCCCCCTCATTGGACCCAGGGGCATGAGTCCTGCCAACACCCTGCACATGTGGACAAAGATGTTTGCTGAACAAATGGATGAAGGTGGAGGATTCAGCTGTCAGCAGCTGGGGAGAGTGCTGGGCCCTTTGCTTTGAGCCCACAAGCAGTGGGATGTGGTGGGCAGGTGCCTGAGCCCTGCTGTTGGCTGGGCACCATCTTGCTGTGTCCCCTTGGCCAGAGACCTGCCCCCTTCCTGGGTGCAGTTTCCACTCCTGCCCTATGGGCGGGGGCTGCTTGGGCATCCGTGCCCCTGGGCTGCATCAGGCGAGACCTTCTTTGCGGATGGAGCTGGCTCTCCTCACCGGGGACTGGGGGTCTGGGGTGGAGAGGAGGGCTGTCCCACTGGGGTCCATGCTGCCCTGCTTGACCCTCAGCTCCCACCCTCTGCGGGAGGCCTTGGGGACAGACCGGGGCTGCTCCTCCCTGGGTGGGGCAGCTGAGGGGACGGGGACAGGGCTGAGATGTCCCAGCCTGGAGCTGCAGGCCACCTAGGCTGGGAAGCACCTGGTAACCTCATCCAAATACCAGACCTCCAGACTCATCTGTCACCCTTCCAGATGCTTGATTCCAGGAGCAGAGACGGGTGGTGGCCTCTGGGACAGCTTAGGGGTGGCAGGATGGACAGAGGGAAGGCTGAGGGGCTGGCTGAGGAGCCGAGGGCAGGTTTGATGACGTGCCGTTCGGCCCCCTACGGCACCCAGCCCAGCAGTGGGAGGACAAGGAGCCAAGCTGCCCAGCTGCCCAGCCCAGGCACTGTGTGGCCCTCCTACGAGGGACTGAAGTTTTCTTTGAAGAAAATTCACTGTAGCCAGATCAGACGAGCTTGCTAATGCCGACATCCCAGCAACGGAGCCAGGGGGACTGGGCCTTGTCCCGTGGTTTCCCGCAACCCCTCGGGAAGCCAGTCTGTGTCTCCCGCGTTTGGTCCGGAAGGAAAGCAGGCAGAAAATCAGGCCACCTGGGGAGAGAGGGCCACCCAGTGGCCCTCTCTCTCCCTGTGTGGCCAAGGCTGGGGCTACCAGTTGCCCGGTTTCCCCGCCCTGGCTGAAGAGGCCAGCCTGAGGCCTTCCTCCCCTCCGCAGGCCAGGCCTCTCTGTCCCCATGCCTGCCTGGCGCTCCTGGATACAGGACTGGCACTGGAGGTGCTGAGGCACCGGCTTGAACCAAGGCATGGGGCCAGGGCCACCTGGAGCTCGGCCCTAGGGACTGGGGGGGTCGAAGGCCCGGTGCCTCCTCCTCAGGCTGTGCGGGGCCTGCAGGCAGAGAGGAAGTGGTGGGGTGGGACGGCCACCCCCACAGGCAGCAGGGTGATGGGTGAGCCTGCCGTCTTGCATACTAATTACACTTCTAATCAGCCAGAATGAGGCGCTGACATCAATCTGCCAGGCAGCCAACTCTGCGACTCATACTGGGACGATGTTAAGGCTGAGGGGGCGACCCCGGCCAGCTGTGAGGGGCGGGGCTTGAGCCGGGCCCCTGTCCTGAGCTCCGAGCACCTTGCTGCCCTGGCCTCCCAGTGGTGCCCCACACACCAGATGGCACTTCACACTCGATTTTATTCCATGACACTGATTTGCTGAAAACCCCCGGTTTCCTGGGCTTTAAATGGGCAGGGAAAGCAGTGGACGGTCTGGCAGAGGGCGGCCGGCCGGCCAGGAGGACCGGGTCCTGCTCTGCTCGGATAAGCACTGGCCGGGCATCAGCCCCACCCTCTCCCCTCCAGTTCACTTAAAAACTGAATTGCAAAAATAAAATAGAATGAAAAAAATAAAAACAAAACCCTGAGTTGTTAAAAAACAAATTAAAAATCCCCTTTGGTGTCAAAGGTCCCATTCCTAAAAGCCGGCAGGTGGGGCAGGGGCATGGGCGGCGGGATGGAGGTCAGTCCTCTTGCTCGCTGTCGTTGTCACACTCCTCGTACTGTGGGCCCAGGAGACCCTCAGTGCCTGGCCGCTTCAAGATGGCACTGTACTTGAGGGCCGTGGCCTCCGCCTGCAGCACCACCTCCACCAGGCTGAAGATGCTGACCACCTGTGGCACGGCAGAGCCCACATGGTGGGCAAGTTTTGAGGGTGGGCCCAGGGGGACAGGAGCGATGGGCTGCAGACAGGAGGGACGGACTGCCCACCCTGGGACCACATGCTGTGCCCCTCCAGGCCCCCATGCACCCATCTGTAGGATGAGCCCACTCAGGTGCTGAGGACACGGGGAGAGGTCAAAGAGCCAGAGCCCGGTGCGCGCGAAACCTGGTGCGTGGTGAGCGCTCAGGGTCAGGGAAGGACCCTGGGCTCGGGCCATCTGCAGAGCTGCAGGTGAAAACCCTTAGAGAGAATTTCTTGGGGTAGGAGGTCCATAGCTTTTATCATTCTCAAAAGGACCCCAAAAGTTAAGAACCTTGATTTCGAGGGATAGGCGGAGCCCCCCACCTCTCCCCACAGTGGGTGCCCCAAGGGAGGAAGGTGGTACCGGAAAGCCGCAGCCCAAAGGAGGCGGTGTGGGTGAGCCATTGCTGGCCTTGGCATGTAGAGACTGGACTCCCACCAGGCAGCCCAAGTGCGGGGGTCGGGGGCCGGAGGGGACGCGCAGGGTGGCAGGGGGAGAGCCCACCCGGAACTGGGGGGTGGGCCGGGGCACAGCGCTGGTCTGGAGAAGCGGCCCTGCCCCCCGGCTCTGACCTGCCGCACCGGCTCCTGCTCCAGGTCTTCAGGTTCCCAGACGAGCGTGAGCTCCGGCTTCTTGCCCACCTTCTGGAAGTGGTGGGACCGCAGGGGCAGTGCCTGCGGGCGCACACACCGCGACTCAGGCCTCAGCACAGCTGCCCAACCTCTGACCTTTCCGCCGCTGCGTGGGGGCAGCTTCGGCCGACCTCTGACTGGGCTGAGGACCCACCCTGCCCTGGCCCCCAGCAGCTGGCTGCTCGGCCTCCGAGCGGGGACCGCCCCGCCCTCCTCCTGCCCCTGGCCAGCTGCGGAGACGCCCTCTCAGGGCATCTTTGGCTGAGGCCTCAGCTGAGGGTGACCAGGTACACAGGGACAGGGGCTGGGAGGGCCAGCGGCCCCGCGTTTCGCGGAGGAGGGGGGGTCTGCCCAGGCTCCTCCGGGTGGGCCCACGTGGGGCCGAGGGCGCCGGCATCTGAGGCTGGGGAGCGGCTGCCCCCTGCTGGCGCAGGTCTGTTAGCACAGACTGAGGGCGGGGCTGTCTGCAGAGACGGCTTAGATGGGAACTTCCTCCTTCAAGACGAAGGGCCTGCCCGAGTCCCCCTGGACTCCATTCTGTCTCTTCTGCTTTCCTTCTTTTTATTAATGCCATGTTTAGTCCACACTGTGTGCTGGGTTCTGCATGCCCCAAAGTGCTTTGGATGTTGGGAAATTCAAAGCCAGGGCCAGGGGCCACGTGGTGGTCTGCTAACCACAGGGTCAGCTGGAACAGGTCCCTCAGGCACCATGCACCCTTGGAAAGAACCTTCAATGAACAGCCACTTGGGGCAGGACCCAGGGCAAGGGCTGGCCTCCTCCTCCTCTTCAGGGGACACAGCTTCCAGAGTGGCCACGGACCATTGTCTCTGGTCTTTCCTTCCCTTACATCCCTAACACAAACACCTCCCAAGCCTGCGTGCTCGGCTGGGTCTTTGGGGAAAAGGCCCAAGTACAACTCTTGGCCTGGATGCCTCATTCCAGGCAGGTACCACTGGGTGTCTTGGCATGGCACTGGGTCAGGGAGGGGAGCAAGGGGAGGGCCTTGGCCTCTGTCGCCACGTGCCCAGCACAGCTCGGAGCCAAGTGCTGGGTGTGGTGTCACCACCACAGCCTGTGTTCTCCGCGGTGGATGGGACAAGGCCTCTGCTCCCACCCTCCAGGCTTGTGTGTCTACCAAGGGTTGTCCCTAGGCCAGGACCAGATGCTAGGGACGTACAGAGGAGGCCCCAGCGGGGGAAGCAGGGGCAGGCAGGTGAAACAGCTGGGTGTGCCTGAGAGAGGAGGGAAGGCCCTCCACTGCAGCCTCGAAGCTTCTGGGCATTCATGTCATGGCAGATGAGCTTCTGCACCCACAGCTGCACTCTGCCTGGCCAGAAGGGCCCTGACCTCGGCCTGGGTGGCCCCCACACTCACGTTACAGTAGATGCGCTTCTGCACCCCATAGCGTAGCACCAGAACATCGAAGGCTTGGTTCAGGACACCCAGCACCATGGCTTCTGACTCCAGGGGGCCACTCTCCTGCGGGACAGAGCACCAGCCAAGGCTTGGCCATGGGCTGTGGCATCGCCCAGGGCCCCCCCAGATGTGGAAGCCCCTGCATTCCTTGAGGGCTCCTTGTAAGCAGGTGCCCAGGAGGGGAGGTGGGGCAGGGGCGGGGAGAGCGGGCGCCAGGCTGGTGGTCTCACCTTGACCAGGACGGCAAAGAAGAGGCCTGTACTGAGCTCCTGCACGCGTTTGGATGCCATGCGGCGGTCGTTGCAGTGTTCAGCCAGCTTTTGCAGGGCATCGGGCTCCAGGTCTGGCAGCTCCCTGTAGCCTAGGAGGAGGGTGGTTGGAGGCTTCTGACAGAGTGCTGTGTGTGTGCCGGCTGCAGCAGGTGATGGGCGGCACGGTGTGCCCGGCCCAGGCAGGCGGGGGCCTGGGAGGCCCATGCAGACCAGAGGCCTCCCTGATGCCCAGCTCCAGAGGGCTGGCCACAGCTGGGCCCTTGAGATTGGCCTTGCATAGGGCTTCACATGAGCCCTGTTATAGCTTCTCTTAGCACATGCTCACAGGAGGCAGAGTTTCCAGGCCCAGGCTGGCACCCCTTGGGGCCTCCACAGCCACAACAGTATGGCCTCTGGCCACTGGGCACCCACTCTGGGCACTCACATTACATAACCAGGCACAGGCCTGCACTGCCCCCCGTGTCACGCCCCTTACCAAGCGCAGCGCCCAGAAGCCGGTGCACTATGACGTCGGCAAAGCGGCGGATGGGTGAGGTGAAGTGTGTGTAGAGTGGCACGTTGAGGGCATAGTGCCGGAACTGCGCCTGGTCCTGCAGCACCCCCGAGCAGAAGTACAACGCCATCTGGGGGTGGGGTGAGTCTTAGAGCCTAGCCAGGCTGGTCAGGTTTGATCTGCCAGGCTGTGTGACACTTGGGCAGTCTTGGCGAGGACTGACCGACCAGGCCACAGGCAGCTGAGCAGAGCCCTGCAGGCCCGAGGAGGCCAGGGGCCATGCCATGTAAGGGGACACAAGAGGGTGGCATGAGGCTGGGTGGAGCCACATGGTGCCCACGCCTCTCTCCTGATGAAGGCCTTGCCCTGGGCTGCCCAGATGCTCTTGTGGTAGCAGCACTGAAGACAGGCCAGAGAGCCCTGCAAGGGGTCCAGCCGCCTCCTCTAAGGACAGGGGGATGCTGGGAGCCCTCATGATGCTGGATGGCCTCCCTCAGAGCCCTGCGGGGCCAGCCACCTGAGCCCTTGCGGAGGGGCTGTCTATGTGCTGAAGTCTGAGGGCAGCCAGGAAGGAGCTCATCCCCCCCCAAGGCCTGCCACTGCTGAGTTTAAGGGGGCTGCTAGTGCCAGGAACACGGGGAAGAAACTTGCTGTTCTGCCCTTCCCCAGCAGGGCTGGGTGGCTGACCTGGGAATGGGGAGGACGTGAGGTGGCCTGTGGCCACGCTGGGCCAGGGGCTGCAGGTGCTGCCCTGCGGAGGCAGAGGTAGGGGCTGAGGAAGCCGCGGACTCTGCGAGGCCGCCAAGGCCAGCACCACTACGTGGCCGGAACAGGAGGCAGCAGAGAAGGTGTATCACCCACGAGAGCAAAAAGGGCAGTGGGCGCCTGGCTCTTCCTCTCTGGCCACGATCCCTGACCTACTGAAAGCCATACCCGCACCCTGGCACCTCTGTGTCAGGCCAGTCAAGGGGAGAAGTCTGCTGGTCTGCCAGCCTTAGCCTTTCTTGTCCCTGACAACCTGTCCTGGGGCCAAGACCCAGAGGTCTGAGTTCACAAGGCCCTTCTGCGGGACAGGAGTTACGACAGAGGCAAAGAGATGCCAGGCCTCTCTAGGGTCCAGCAGACGGCCCCACACTGGGGTGGTCATGCTGTCCTGGGGGCCTCAGGGGCCACAGTCCCTGGAGCTGCTTGCCCTGGAGTCCCCAAGCTGTCCAGGGTGGCCATCAAGGGTGCTGAGGCTGTCCAGGAGCAAGTGACAAGCTTCTTCACTGAGGGCCAGAGTCACTAATGCGTCCCCTGCTCGGCCCCCTGCTGCTTGCTCACACTCTTACACCCTCACGCCCTCCTGTGCACTTGGCCAAAGGGACAGCCGGCTCTAGTCACTCTGTGTAGGTCAGCCCTGGAGTCCAGGGCGCAGCTGGTGGTGACCTGCTCGGCTCCCCACGTCTGCTTCCCTCCCAGCGCCTGCTGGGCCCTGGGTTATACCCAGGGCAAGTCTCTGGGGGAGGTGGGGGCAGCCTCCATGCCCAGCCGTGTTTGGGCTTTGTTCTCAGCAGTGGCCCCACTCCCCAGATGAGCTGCCCAGAGGGCTGGGCTCCCTTCCTGCCTGGCGAAGGCATCTCTGGGCAAGATGGGGTGGGTGGGGTCCGTGGCTTCCGCACAGTGGCCAGCCATCCGTGGCATAGCCCCGGTGTCCTATTTCAGCAGCTTGCTTGGGACTTCTGTGCTCACTGCTGCCTCCCCTGCCTGGTCCCGTCCCTGCCCCAGTTCCCAGAGCTGGGAGAACAGGGCAGCACAGACGCCCCAGTCACCCCTGCCAGCAGGTCCCCAGGCAGAGGCCGGCCTCTGAGGTCACCGGCAGGCAAGGCCAGTTGTCTTTCGCAGGCTCTGGGTGACTCAGGAGAAGGCTCCTTTTCTTGAAGCTTCAGGGCTGGTTTGACCTCAGAAGTAGATGACATCCAGAGGCTGGGAGGCAGGGGCCGGGGCCCTGACGGTCCTGCTAGGCACGGCTGGGGGGCAGCTCTTGGGACCCAGGGGCTGCTGTGTCTTGGGTCAACTGGATGGCAGAGTGGGGTCGAGCTGGCAGCCGCTGGCACCCCTGCGCCCCACCATGGGGTGCTTTCAGGTGCTTAGTGGGGGGCAGACACTTGTGACTGGGGGCAGGATAGAGGCAGCCAGGCCCAAATGGGCGCTAATGGCTCCTTCGTGGCAGAGCTATGGGGTGTCAGAAAATAAATCAGCTGCGGCCGGGTGAGGGGATCTGGTTCTTGTGAACAGGTTGGATTTGCAGGGTGACAGAGCCCCCGGAAATGGTCTGTCACCTGGCTGGGCTGGCGGCAGACCGACCCCGTTAGCATCCAGCTCCTGCTGACCTGACGGTCCGCCGGGCTGGTTCCCTCCCAAGAGGCTCAGGCCTCAAAGGGCCGGGGCAGGCTGCCAGGAGTGCCCATCCTCTACCTCCCGGGCTGGGAGACGGACATCGTGCCTGCGGACAGGCCCATAGCCTGACTCCTCTTCTGGCTGGTGAGAGGAAGACTTCTCTGCCTGGGGTCCGCAGGCCACACTGGGGGCTGATGAGCACTCCCCTGGGCAGGCAGCCACGGGAGATAGTCCGCTCCAAGGTCCCCTGGCCCCGAGTTGCTGTGCAGCCTCCACTCCCTTCCCCGAGCTGGTCTGGTCTGTGGGGACGGTGCACTGAAGGCTTGGTGCATGCCCTGTGGCGGCTCCCTGCTGTCTGCCAGGAAACAGCCCTAGAGGCCGTGGAGGGGGTGGGGAGCTCAAAGTGGCCCTCTGATGGGCCCTTGCAAGCTGTTCTCTAGCAGGGGAGGCAGGCGTCTGCATGGGGGGCAGATCAGGCTCCAGAGCCTGGGACCCCCCCATCCTAGGTATTTGCCAGGGGTACCCTGCCCCCTCCCTGGTCATCTGGCTGTGCGGAGGGCATGGGTGCTCCTGAGAGAAGGCTGGGGAGGGGGCCAGAGCTCTCCTTACCTGCATGGGCCGGGAGCACATGTTGGTGAGTACCTCCTTCCGGGCCAGTGAGTACTTGTCATCTCCAAATGTTTTGGTCAGACTTTTCTAGAAGCAATCCCATGTGATACGCAGTCAGGCTTGCGGAGAGGCTCTGGGGTCCCTGCCACCCACTGACCATGTGAGACCTGGCCCGGGGAAGGGTCAGCTGAAGGGCCCAGCCCTGCTCAGATGGCCACGGGTGGGGTGCGGGGGCCCCAGCCTGTGCTCCGAATATGCCTGCCTTGAGCGTCGCGTCTTCTTTGTCTAGCTGGCTGGCTAGGACAGACTGGCTCTCAGCTGACTGACCCCTTCCCTAGTCCAGACTTGAGGCACAGATGGGAACGGTCTCCTTCTGTGGTCAGAGCTGAGGCGTGGGTGCCTGAGCCTTATGAGGGTCAGTGCCAGGCAGGCAGCACCTGACACCACCTGCCACAAAACACATTCCCTGGCCGCTGGGTCCCTGCCCCTCGGCTGAACCCCGAGTGGCTTCCCTCGGCCTGGTCTAGTGGAGTGCGCAGTCAGGGCCTCTTTGAAGGCCTTCTTTCCAGGGCCTCCCTCCCTTGCAGGGAGAACCTGCTGGAACACAGTGGCAGCCACACCCCACCTTCCAGGCCCGCCTCCTCCTCCTCAAGTAGGGCTTCTCCCTGGGCCCCAGGCCCCCGGCACTCACATTGAGGGCCCCAGCAGAGCTGAAGTCCATGGGCAGCCCCATCTGGTCACAGAATTCCACCAGGTCGCTTAGCATCTTGGTCTGGGGTGGGGGGTGCCGGCGCAGCAGGGCTCGCGCGGGGAAGGCACGGTGGATCTTGTGGGCCACTGCCATGTTGGCCAAGAGCATGAACTCCTCCACTAGCCTGCGGGGGAAGAAGCTCCGGGTCAGGGCTCCAGGCTGGCTGGTGCTCTCGCCCCTTCAGTCTCAGCCTAAAAGTGCCCCCCTGCCATCCAAACTGCTTTGTTCTTCCCAGCTGCTTTCTCTCGCATGCCCCTCACTCTCTGCTGTTCCTCCCTTCTGATGGAGTAGTTTGTGTGCTGTCCCCCCATAGATGGGGCTCTGAGAGGGCAAGGACACTGGCCAGGCCAGCAGAAGGTGCTTGACGGAGGTCTCTGCTGAATGACCAGCACCCAGAACGCTCAGCCGTAAGGAGACAACGTGCCTGGGCCCGCCATGAGAGCCCAGGGAGCTCCCCGGGGGTGTGCCGAAGGAGGTGAGCAGACCCAGGGCCCCCTGCTCCCAGGAGTGTGGGCCCCCTTTCCCCTCGCCCTGGGGGAGATGAGGGTTTCTGAAGATGATCAGGGGAGTCACAGACAGCAAGAAGGGAATCACAAATTCTGAGACAACGCAAACATGTTGGTGCTGTGCTCCAACCCCAGAGTCAACCTCTTAGGAGTTAACACTCTAGCTTTGCTTCATTTGAGTGTTAGAATCAACAATAAGCAGGAACACATTACAGCTCCAAATGAAAACACCAGGGCACCCCAAGGACAGAGTGGGGGCGGTTATGGGCAGGGCAGGGACTGGTGGGTGATGGAGGAGGTGCACCCAAATGGAGGAACCCAGTGAAATGGGAAACTGGATCATAGAGGCCTGAGGCCAGCACACCCCCAACCTCCAAATCTGGAGTGGGAGGCCCATGTGCTGTGCTCCCTACTTGAGCCCTGTGGAAGGATAAGTGTAAGTGGATCAAAAGTGTGCGCCAGAGCTGAAGCCTCTTGGAAGGGGGCTTAGGCACTTCCTGAACCATCACGGCTAGGGGACCTCGTGTGGGGAAAGCCCTGCCCAGTTTAGGGGAGACTCCTCTGCCTTTAATCTGAACCTCCAGGCTGCATGTCAAGTCTGTGCTTCTCCCACAGAGGAGAGAGGTCAGGGAGGGAGCTCTGGCTGACCTGGCAGCAGCCAGAGGCCTGAGAAAAACTTCCGCTCCCTGGAGGTGTGGGTACTGCTGCAGGGTTGGCCTCCTCGCCTCACCAAGCTCTTGGAAAGAAAAGCAGTGAGTGACAGGGAGAGAGGGCGTGACTGTGCAGAGCCCCCTTCCCCTCTGACTGGCCTGCCTGGGCAGAAGTGTGGCTTGGTCCGCAAGCTGTGGAGGGCACACCTTTCTCTCCTAGAGCCCTCTCTACACGGAAGAACAGCTGTGGAAATGTCGTGCTGGAAGTGTGGAAAGGTACCACCAGATGGGCCCGGGCCAGGCCTGGGCCTGGGAAGGAGGCCGCACCAAGTCCTGCTCTGCTAGTCCCGAGTCTGCAGGGCCAGCTTTGGATGGGCCCACTGTGGGCCAAGGGTACAGCTTGGGCATAGGACTGAGCGCGTCAGGCCTCCGCTGGCCCTTGTACCATGCAGGAAACCCCGTGTGAGGGATGAGGAGTTTCTTTATTCCCCCCGACTTAGAGCAATGGCCATTCTGCCTCCCACCCACAGTCCGTCTTTGTGCACATGTCACTTCCTGCTGAAAAGCCTTGAGTTCAAACACCTGAACCCAACCCGCACGTCTCCTACGAGCCAGCCTGAGTTCTGGCTCTACCATGCCCTTGCTGCAGGACCCTGAACAAGGCCAGACCTCTTCTGAGCTTCCTTTTCTCAAATGCAGAACATGGGTAACAGCACCTGCTTCATTGGGTGGCTGTGAAAACCGATGGGAATGATACACATCTTAAGGGCAGACCCTGTGCCTGGCATGGCATTGGCCTCAACACACGGGCGGTGCTTTCCTCTTTCCTTACCTTCCGTGCCAAAGAGCTGCCCCGGGGTCTTCCCAAGGTGCCCTGTGATTTTCATAACCGCCATTCATTCCCCTTTCTTGCCTTTCCCCACCCTTCCTGTAGGCCCTTTCCATGCCTCCGGGTACTTACTGCTCAGCCAGCCACTCGGCAAGAGGGGCCAGGCTGCTCCACGGTCACCCGCCAAAGTCTAGCACCTTTTGGCACTTTGTAGCTGGTTCTCATATTTACATCTTGTCAACCCAGGAGGAGTCTCCGTTCCTGCCTGACATATGTCTGGGTTGATATACTGTCTGCTTTTGGTCAGACACTAAAGGCTTTTTATCACCTAAATGTTCCAGATGCATACACTCATTTATTAGTTCATTCAACAAACATAACTGTGTGCCAGGCACTTCTACACGTGTCTTCTCAAGTATCTGGGAATCCTTGAGAGCAGGGGCTACACAGTCCACGGGAGCCTTGCAGTCTCCAGCCCAACCACAGGCCCGGTGAGGACGAACACCATAACCTTGGGGCTGACCCTGGGTTGCATTTTGCCATGGTGGCCAGCAGGGGGCAGCATGGCTCCACGGCAGAGTTGAGGTCAGGCTGCAGGCTAGGGATTGCTGCGCAGGGCAAAGTAGCCGGGCTGCGCTGGACCGGCTCCAGTATGTTCCCCGAACCCCCACTCTCACCTCGGGTCAAAGGCACTGGATGCTGGGGTCCGTCAGTCCCCAGGGAGGGCCGTGCTCCTGTGCCCAGTTTGCTGCAAGGCTCTCCACGGGGCCTCTCATGGTCTCAGGTGAGAACAGGAGGGAAGGGACGGGGAGGGTGGGGCCAAAGCCCAGGGCCCCAGGCAGTGTGAACAGAACCCAGTTAAGGTACTACTCCAGTGACCCCACTGCTTGTCCTCCCTGACCCCCACTGCAGTCCCACAGGTCACCTGAGGTGACAGACAAACAAGTGTGCTCCTGTTAACTCTGAGAAAAAAGTCTTGCAAAGCTTTGGACACAGGCTGACCTTGACAGGTCCCCTGGTGCCCCTGGAGGATTACACTCTCTTCTGAGTGTTTCAGCCCCATCCTCACGACAGAGGGGCAGGAGTTACGAGGGCAGCCTGTGGAACCCTCTCTGAGACAGTTCGCTGATGCCAAGCATTCACCCCAGAAAAACATCAGTGTTACTGAGCTGGGAGGTGGTGCAGCAATAAGCCCAGATTCCCTGGGTGCTGCCATGGCTCATTAGTGCTCTAGGCTGGCTGCAGGGACCAATTCCCCACAACCTGTCCTTAAAATCCTTCTTCTACCAGCAGGTGGGAGCGGGAGGGGTAGAGAGAACACACAAACGGGTGAGCATGAGAAGGCAGAAGCAGCCGTGCGAGTGGAGCTGTGCTGGGGTTCGGAGCGTGCGGGCGCACAGGGGCAGGGAGGCCGAGGAGAAGCTAGGCGGCCAGTGGCCAGCTACTGAGCCCTGGATTCACTGCCCAAAATGTGGCCAGGCACCCCCAGGAGGGAGAGCTGGGCTGGCCAGTACTTGGGGTGGGGTTCGGGGTCACTGCCCTGATGTGGGGCCAACATAGGTCCCCCCTCTCACCCAGCTCAACAGGTCCCTGCCACAGGTCAGTTCCAAGGACAGGCAGCAGGGGGCCCCCAGCATCTTCCTTCCGCGGGACCTGGGACGTGGCAGGACCCACTCAGACTCCAGCAACTTGTGGGCAGGCAAGAGCCTTAGTTTATGCACTGCAGTCCTGCAACCCAAGGTCCAGGGGTCCCTGCGCTCCCAGTCAGTGTTCTTCCCCTTAATCAAAGGCAGCTCTCAGGCTGAGGGCTTTACTCAGTCGGGGGGAGAAAGGCAGGGAGATGAGGAGAGCAGCTCCAAGAGCCGGCCCCGGCAGCAAGCACCCCTTCACTCTTAGCTCCTTCCCCTTTCGGGGGTCGGAGCTGTGGGCACAGGCCTGGCAGCCACACTTCAGACGATGCCCTGCGCTATCCTAGGTGGTTAGGATGCACCCCTGAGAGCAAGCACCATGTGCTCAGGCCTGGGAACCCTGGCCGCAGCCCTTGCTCCTGGACTTGGGACCTGCCCACTCACAGCCCACCTCCACTCCCACGGCAGGAGGTGCAGGCCTGCCAGGGGGTGGGCAGCGGGAACTCAGCGACTGCCCGGCAATCTCTAAACAGGGGCTCAGGAATGGACACCACAGATGGAGATGGAGACAGGGCCATGGTCCCAGTCCTGGCATCTGCGGAGCAGATGGAGCCTGGTGCCACCGGGGGGCCATGACTCCCGAGGGCTGGAGTGGGCTGTGCTGGGGCAGGCAGCCGTAAGGCCAGCTGTGGGCAAGGCCAGCAGGTAAACCGGTCAGCAGGCATTTGCAGCATCCCACCTGCCTGTGTTCTGGGCCTCTAGGAGCCGGAGGGGAAGGCAGAAGGGGCTTCTCATCCCAGGGAGGACGTGAGCAGGCCTAGAGGGGTCAGAGCCCCTCCCTGCTGTGGCAGACAGCAGGGAAAGGCCACAGGTCACCTACATACAAGTATGCACACCTCTCACACAACAAAGATGACTTTGGTCTAGAACAGTTTCCCAGCCTGTGTTAATGTTATTTAAAGGAGAAAGGCTGAACACAAATGAAATGCCAGGCGGTTATTTCATCTAAAGTTTTATTACAGGAAATCCCCTTGCCTCTCAGATGCTAGTGCATCCTGACTTCACGGAAGGACTAGAGTGGCGTGGATGCAGTGCTAGGGGCTCACTAATGACTGAGCCTGTTTGTATTGCATCTTTAAGGACGATGTTTGGGAAAGGACACTACCTGGCAGGGATCAGACAGTGGCTACATAACAGGTGAAAATATCTGCCCTTTCTGAAGAAGGCTGCCCATCCTTCATTGTCAAGGAACTGGATTGAATGTTCCTCTGCTTATCTAGACGCCTGGCTCTGTTTTGTTACGAGGGGTCTGGTTTTATCTGTGGCCACGGAAGGCCCTCGGGTGGGATGGTGGAGTGGAGGACTAGAAATCTAATCGACATCGCCTGAATGCAAACCAAGTACTTTCATGAAGCTAAGTCTGGTGGCGGGGTCCTATGGCGAGGCTCCTGCTCTGCACCTCTCTGACCCCACCTCGCTCCTTGCCCCATGTGCACAGACCATGCCTCTGG